TAAACGCTTTGCAAAATATACATGTGTATCAAATCATGACATTGTATACCTTAAATTTATATGATGTTATAGGACAATTAAATCACAATAAAATTAGAAAAAATAAAGTAGGCCACCTGGAAAAACAAGGAAAGAAAAATAAACCATAATTTTGGAAGTTGTGGGTAAATGACATAATTTCAAGACAGGTCCAGGATGGCCAAGAAAACATAAATAACAACACTTAGAGTTTTAAGGTAATCAACTTCAGGGCCAGTATTCATTCATCTGGGTTACCAGATGAGGACACGGTACTTTTCAAGTATTCTTATATTATGCTACCTGGGCCCCCGTGTTTTCTGAGTTTCAGGCAGGATGACCAATGAGAAAGATATATATATTCAGAACACTGTTGTACTCCTAAAATCACATCATTATTTTTATGATTGACTGCTAGTTAATATTAGTCACTTTATCATAAATTCTTGCAACAAAAGCAGATACCTGGATTTTTCCCCCCAGGCAGTTCATATATCCAGGGGTGAATATTACTGATCATAGATGGCAACCACCCATTACTTCTCTCCAGGTGAAGGCAGGGACCATTCAACTTCTTACCTCACTCCCTTCCCATAAGCTGAAGGTACAACAAACTATTGCTCTCCCCCCTCTCCAAGCTGAGAATTTGACTGAAAGTTACTGAACCATTAACCTGGACAAGCCCCTGATACCCTTGGGGGTGAAGGAATGGAGAAGAAAGATAGCTGGTACTGAGAGTAGAGCACCAAGATGAGAGCCTGCATTCCCTTTCTCCTTGAATTATACATGTATGTTCATACATGTCCATGTGTGAACTGGACAACACAGGAAGAAACTGAGGCCTAAGGCTCTTGGTGGCTTTCCCCAAGCAACACCTCCAGACAAGGATCCCACCACAACAAAAGGCTAGATTAGATTGCCTCTGGCAGGGACTGATGGTGGTGTGCAGGAGAAAGGGATTGACACTAACCTCTCTCAGTGAGGCAGTATGCAGGGGAGACCCCAGAAAGCAACAACTGCATTCTCAACATCCTCAATGCAAGTAAGAGAACTGGAATGGGGATACCTGACACACTGGGAAAACTCACTGAAATAGCAACCACTAGCAGAAACAGAACAGCCAAATCTTCATGGATAACAGTCTTGTGGAGAACATTCTTTCTCCCTCCTCTTCATTCCTACTTGAGAGGCACAAGAGCCAAGGGAAAAGGAGGAGGGTGACATTACCACCCCTCCACTAAGTCCATCTGCATCAGGAGACTAGGAAGAGATGAATTAAATGCAAGATAAAAGATTTTAAATGGTCTAAGTCCTAATATTTGAAATGAGGCTATAAATTATTAAAAGTGACTGCACACTGGGCCTCCCTGGTGGTGCACGGGTTAAAGTCTCAGCACTATCAAGCATCACCAGCCATTGCAGCTTGAGTTCAATCCTGCCCCCCAACCCCCCCCCCCACTACCCAGAGGGCCTATTTTTCTCCCTACTCTGTCTCTGGTGAATCCTCTCACCCCCAGCACCTCTGGCCTGCACCCCAGTTCTTGTATGCATAAATAAAAAAAAAATATTTAAAAGAAAAATAAAAGTGACTGCACAGTTATAGAACCAGAGTAGAATTTTTTTTTTTTTTAAGATTTATTTATTTATGCGTACAAGAGCTAGGGTACAGGCCAGAGGTGTTGGGGGTGGGGTGAGAGGATTCACCAGAGACAGAGTAGGGAACAGAACAGGCAGATTTTCTGAAATACACTGCTCAGGGGAGCAGCGGGTGAGACAGGAGAGGTCTGCTGCACCATGTGGGTTGCTCCCTGGCAGGCCAGGGATCTAACTCATGCTGCAGTGGCTGCAGATAGCTTCATAGTGCGGTACTTAACCCCTTGCGCTACCAGGGAGGCCCTAGAGTAGAATATTCTTGAGAACCCACTATCTAGATAGCAAAAGAATTTCTAAAGCCAGTAGCAGTGGTTATAGTGGAAAAAATAAAATTGTTTCACATTTATATCTTAAAATTATGACTTTTCAAAGTGGTAATATACCGACAGGAATTTATAATTATTTACTAGTTTATTGTTTGTCTTCCCATAAACTACAAGTGCCATGGACTAGAGATATATCTATCTTGTTCACTGCTTTCTCCCTTGAGTATGTGTAGAATATAAAAAAAAAAAAAAAAAAACACATGCTGGCAAAGCACAGCAAAGAATAATTCTTAGTCTGAAAAATATACTGGTTACCAGAGGTGGGGAGAGCGGAAGGAAGGGGGTAGGACATTGACATGGGAGTTTAGTGGGGCAAGTGAAGCATGTGCACACATGGAAGTGTGAAAATGTACCTATAAAGTTATATGTAAACAACTGAAAAATTGATTTAAAAAAATTTAAAAAGTGAACAAAAAGTAACTTGCAGACTTTAGTACACTTCATTCCTTAACACTAAAATGTGTATATCATAGTGTTCAAAATTTTTCTATTTTTAAGACAGAATTTACATTCTGAAATCATACATTTACTACATATCATTTATTTGCTATATATATATCTTATTTATGAAATATACAAATATACATATTTATGTCTTCATATTTAGAAGTTTATAATGTTATGTTTATATTCCCCCAGAGTTCTTTTTTTTAAAGATTTATTTATTTATATGAGAACTGGGGTACAGTCAGAGATGTTAGAGGGTGAGAGAATTCACCAGAGACAGAGCGTCCGCTAAAGTTCTTATGTTGAAGCTGTAACTCCCAAATATATAAAAATATATATATATATATATATATATTTTGGTATTTGGAGATGGGGCCTTTGGGAAATTATTACAGTTAGATTAGAATACAAGAATGGAGCACTCATAATGAAATAGTGGCCTTATAAGAGGAGAACTAACTCTATCTCTCCTCTCTCTCTCTCTCAATCTCTCTCTCTCTCTCTCTCTCTCTCCCCATTTCCCTCCCTCTCCCACCCAACTCTCTTTCCTTTTCCCTATGTATGCCCACTGAGGAAAGACTATGTGAGGATGCAGTGAAAAATCTGCACTCCAAGGAAAGAGTCTTCACCAGAATCAAATTGGCAGCACCTTTGATCTTGGACATCTCAGCCTCGAGAACTGTGAGAAAATAAATTTTCTGTTGTTTAAGCCACCAGACTATGGTATTTTGTACATAGTGTTATTAGGAAGTCGCTAAAGAGAGCTTGTTAATGTACTTTCTTAAAGATCACTTTGGAGGAAGGAATGAAATAGAATAGATTCAGGAAGACAGGATAGAGAGCTACTACATCGATTGGGCCAGGGTGATCTTCGCTTGTGTAGAACCATTAACAGCAGAGGCCCAAAAAAGGGCATAATTATAAGTAATATTTAGAAGGTAAAGTACACTGATGAGGAAAAGGAAAAATCAAGCATAATGCTCAGATTTCTCATTTGACCAATTGCTGGCTGGTGGTATCTCCCCTAAAAGCTCTAACTAAGGAAGACAGAAGGAAAAACGGGCCTTTTTGTATGAGGGGGCAGAAAGGGTGAGTTCAGTTTTAGACATATTCTGCTTGAGATGACAATGACATTCAATAGCCCTCTGGTTAGATAAAATTTATATACAAAGTAAAGACAGTGCTGGACTGGAGAAAAGCCTGTGGGAGTCACTGGCATAAAAATTATCACTAAAGCCATGGAAATAGTTGGGACTCTGTGAGGGAGAAGTGTGTGAAGGAGGCCTATGTCAGAACTCTCAAGAACACCAAGATTTAAGAAGTGGATAAAAAGTAGAAATCAGCTGAGACTGAAAAGAAGTGGTAAGAGTAGTGCAGAGTCACTGAAGCCTTGAGAAAACAGTGTTTCAAGGTAGTTAAACTAATGTTTTATGGCTTTTAATAAAGGCAACTAAATGAATCCCTTGGCAACAAGGATGATTTCTGCCATCCAACCAAAACATCTGAAATGGTTGGCCCCAGATTTCCTGCCCACCAGACCGGTGATTCTCAATGTATATATAAACATTCTTCTAGGAGGAACACATTTTCCTTTGGATCTGTTAATACATTTTACCAAGTTTCTGCAGGCTGGGGGATGGGATTTTGTCAACGAACACATTTATTTGAACCCAGATCCTATCTTGACGCTAAAGCCCCTGCCCTAAGACGAACCACTTACCTACCTGCCTACCTGCCACTTCTCCCTCGTCCGATGGATGGATCGCTTTCCTCTTCACGATTCTGGTCATTCGTTACATCCAATTATGGGGCATCTGGTACTAAACAGCTTCTCCTTATGCATTTTTCAGTTTCTGATCCTGCGACCAACCTAAGTGGTGAGATCACGCAGTTTAACAACCTGAAGGGCATGGATTGTCGGTGAAACTATACACTGGGACAACTTAGGAAAGCAACCCATCATCATTTACCCAAGCCAGAGAAAAGCAGCCTTCGACCCAGTAATTCCACTTCTAGGAATTTCCCCTACAGATGCACTTGCACATGTGCACAAAGACCCGGGGCCTCTCTCCAAGCACTCGCAAAGGCCTGGTCACCCACCCAGCGTCCCTGAGGGGCCTCTACCCCATCAGTCCCAGGCCGGGCCCCCCCACCCCGGAGGACCCCTCTGAGGCTGGTTAGTCAGCACAGGCTGCAGAAGCCCTGTTCACACCTCACTTCACACTCTCGTCAGCTGGGCGCAGCTGGGGCAGCCCTTGCCGCCTTGGCGTCGCACACGCCCAACCCCCGACACCGGCCCAAACCGGCTGCGACCTGATTTTCTCTCTTTCCACCTCGGAAGAGAGGCCCGCGGCCGCCGCCAAGCACAGCGACCGCCACCCTGGCCCGGCCTCGCGCGGCCGCCGCCGGGGCGGGGCGGGGCCGGGGCGGGGCCGGGGCGGGGGCGGGGCCGGGGAGGGGCGGGGCCGGCGGGGTGATGGCCCCGTTTGTCGCTGCCGCCGCCGTCGCCGCCGCCTCAGCAGCAGGAACCGAAGTCGCCGCCGCCGCCCGGGCCGCCGGCCGCCCGCAGCCATGGAGGACTTCATCGTGATCTCGGACGACAGCGGCTCCGAGAGCTCCGGGGGGTCCCGCCCGGGCCGGGCGCGGAGGATCCGCCGGACCCTGTCCCGGCCTCCCGGCGCGCTGCCCCGCCGGACCGTGGTGAGTGAGCGGGCGCGCCTCGCCCGGCCGGCCCGTGGCGGGGGCGCCGCCGCGACGCCGGCCGCTCGTCCGGCGACCCTGAGCCGGGCCCGCGGCCTCCGGCGCCCGCCGCCCGCCCCGCGGCGCCCCACGGCTGCGGCCGCTTCCCGCCTCGCCGCCCGCCCGGGCCGGACGGGTCGCGGTGGGCCTGCGCCGGCCCGGCCGGGCCTTCGGGCCCCGCACCCCAAGAATGAGCGCGCTGGGGGGCTGCAGAGGGGCGGCCGAGCGCACGGACCGCGTCCTGGGGCGGGGCGGGGCGGGGGCGGCCGTGGCGTCCGAGGCCCGGCCCGGGCGTCGAGACCGAGCCTGGGCTGGGAGGCAGGCGGGGTGCGCGGGGAGTCAGCCCTGGGGGGAGGCCGGACCTCGAGGCGAGGGCGCAGGGCGTGTAATCGTCTGGCTTGTGGTGGGTACAGATGTGTGCGGGGAGGTAACGGGAGCCAGGCTGGAGGGAAGGAAGCGAGGGCCTGGGCCAGATGGTGGCCGTGCTCCAGGGCCTGGCAGCCGAGCAAGGGGCCCAGTTTTGGGGCTGTGCAGGAGGTGATTTACTCCTCTGAGCAAACACCAAGCTCTGCCGAACAGGGAGGGAAATACCGAGTACTGTTTCTTTTTCCCTCTGGCTCCTTACAAAGAAAGGACAAAGTAAGTCTTTGTGCTTCTTCCTGAGATGGTGACTAGAAGAATATCCATGGTCCCTGCCTTTCTAGAATCCTCCATAGATGTTTATTGAACCCCTGCTACGGACCAGACGTTCTGGGAACTGGGGCTATAATGGCGAATATAACATCCGTTATCCCTGTGACAGAATGTGATATGTTCAACAAGTGGCTTTGAGTACTCTTGATGTAAATGGACTGGCTTTCCCTCTAGCTGAACGCTCTCAACACCAGACTTCCCACAATTTCCCCCAGAAATAAAAGAGTGATCACAATGATGTTATTTATATACATCCTGTAACGGCAGGAAGGGCACGGAGCAGGTTATCTGTGATTTGAGCAAACCAGACCAGTAAAGGAGAGTCCTGGAGCCCTCAGTGCCTTTCTCAGGCTTTTATTGAGCTTTTACATGTTATGCAGCAACCAGGTATACTGCGGGCAGGGGTTCCTACTGGCCTCCTCCTCCCCCACCCCCCCAAGTCTTCAATCTGGGCTTCTCCGGCGTTCTTTCGCTCCTTCTCTCTCTTCCGCCTCTTTCTCCTGCCTCTGCTTCTCTTGGCGAGTATCTCAGTACTGCAGCTGTGGCCCACAGAAGTATACATAACTTATAACAATGTAACAAATACAGGTGCCCGCCATCAGGCATGCAATCCTAATGGTGGGAGGGCAGAAAAGCCCGAAAACTATTTACCCTACACATACTTGAAAGAGTTAAAGGAAAACATGTCACTTATACGCAAATACTCCTTCAAGACAAACCTCCTAACTTCTACTCTTCCAAACCCCTTCCCAGCCAGTTGGTAGCCCCTCAGCTTTGCTGGGAGTCTCTTACATGTCCCAGGTATAGTGCCAGATGCTAGGTGGTCACTAGAGAAAAGATGGCATGCAAAATCAACATACAGTGCCACTGCTCCAGTAAGAGGGATACTCAGTAATTCTCTGCAAAGAACTTAGATGAGATGGACAGGCAGGAGATTTTCAACTTGGTGAGCAAATGGGTGCTGTGGCAGGCAGTGTTTGGAACATCATAGATCCATAATAAATTTTTATTGGATGAAAGAATGGTATAAAGAATGAGAGAGAGAGCAGTTTCGATGGATATTTGATAACATCCAGAGGTCAAGTACAAGAATAGGAACAGGCTTGGGGTGGCAGGAAAACTGCATTCAGTTTGGACCTCAAAGGAGTTGAACTCTGGAGAACAGGATAGGACAGTTTTAGTAATCAGCCATATGGAAAGGAGCATTGAGACCTAATATGATTGAGAAATCAAGGAAGAGAGCATAGAGAGCAAAAAAAGATAGGAGGAAAAAAATCCCACAGAGTAACTTTCAATTGCCTTTCCTCCAGACTTCTCTTTCTTCTTGCCTCTTTTCTCACTTGCCCTTAACTTTGTCCTTCATACCTGCTTCCTTTCCTCACCAGTGCACAGATGCCTTATTCCAGGCTGTTGTGTCTGTTGCTATTGTGGCCCTTCACACACACATATGGGTGCTCTGTCAAATTGCTCCCCTCCCTTTGACTGCCCAACCAAGCATTTTGATATTGAGCCTTGTGGGTTGAAGAGAAATGAAAAACGTCCTCGGGTGTAGCACCCAGTGTAAATCTTGCTTCTCCAGACATTTACTCTAGCTTTCCAAAAAAATTCCAAGCTTGTTCTTTTATCTTCCTTGCATATTAGATAAGACTAATAGGAAAATCATGTAAAAGATAAGAGACTTAAGAGATTTGCAAGGTTATAAAGCTTAAAGTACTTTTAGTTAGCTCTTCCTAAAAGCCCTGAGGGTCAAAGAGACCTCTGTTCAAATCAGGACTCCCATACGAAGCAGCTGTGTGAGGGTTGGCAAGTGCTGTTAACAACCTTTGGCTTGTTAACATTCATACTTACCTGGCAGAACCGTTAGAAGGTATTTAATGAGGTAATGCAAGAAAAACACCCAGTATAAAGTAATAGCATTTGCTAACATTGTGTTGTAGCAGGCCTGACATTCGCAAGCTTGGCAGACAAGTAAAAGAAGCAAGTTTCATAATTTTTTTTTTTTTTTTTTTACAAATATTGTCCGAAGGGATACAATTTGCTTGAATTTAGGAAATCAGAAAACCATCTCCAGTATTATCTGACATTTCTGGACTCCTGGTTCTTAACTTGAGCTTTAGTCTTCATTAAATTGCTGAAGTGTGTCTGTTTTCAATAATATTTATTGCTTTTTTTCCTACTTATAAAAACAGAACAGGGCCTCCCCAATGGCGCAGCGGTTGAGCGCTGGGTTGTGAAGCTGCCCGCGACCTCTGCGGCGCCGGTTCGATCCCCGGCTGCTCCCCGGCTGCTCCCCGGCCACCAGAGGAGGGTCCCACATGGCGCGCAGACCTCTCCTGCCGCCCGCTGCTCCCCTCAGCAGTGTGCTTCGGTCCTTCTGCCTGCTCTGCTCCCCGCTCTGGCTCTGGTGAATTCTCTCACCCTCCCGCGCTTCTGACTGTACCCAGTGCATGTATTAACAAAACAAACAAACAAATAAATAAATAAATAAATAAAACATGCCTCTATTTAAAAAAAAAAAAAAAACCAGAACATGCTCAGGTCATTTTGATTGACCTCATTACAAAAAATTTAGAAATGTTTGTTAACATTTTGAAGTAAGTCTATCTCATCTTTTAACTATGCATCATAAATGCATATGTACACACATACAAACTTGTATGTCCCCAGTATGTGTTTTTGTAAAAATGAAGTCTTGCTCCTTATGTAGTTATTTATATTTTTTATTTTTTCCACACCAATAAATATCTTCACCAATATGTTAATATATTTCATTGTGTAGATATATAGTGTTTATGATCTCCTATTAATGGATATCATGCTGGTATTTCTAAATTTTCTCTTATAAACAACCCAGTGAAGAATTCCCTCATAAATAACCTTGCTCATTTGTTTATTTAGGCTACATTTCCTCTGAGAAGTGAGATTGCTGAGTCAAAAGATATGTCTCCTTTAAGGACTTTGCTGTATATTGCCAAATTTCCTACAGAAATAGTACACCAATTATGTTTCATCAGCTCCTCTTGCCACTCTCAGGTCATCCCTAGGTATCATCGACTTACTCAGTAAATATTTATTGAACACTTACTAAAGGCACATCTCAGAGATGTTGCTGGTTTGGTTCCAGATCACCATAATAAAGCAAATGCCACAATAAAGTGAGTCACGTGAATTTCTTGGTTTTCAATTCCATATATATGTTTAAGCTGTGCTGTGCTGTAGTCTGTTAAGTGTGCAATGGCATTATGTCTAAAAAAATGTACAGATCTTAATTTTAAATATACTTTATTAATAAAAAAATGCTAACCATCAAATGAGCCTTCAGCAAGGTACAATCTTTTTGTTGGTGAAGGAAGCGTCTTGCCTCAATGTTGATGGCTGCTGACTGATCAAGGTGGTGGCTGCTGGGGGTTGGCGTATCTGTGGGAATTTCTTAAAATAAGACAATGAGGTTTGCTGCATCAATGTTGTCTTTCTTTCATGAACGATTTCTCTAGCATGCAATGCTATTTTAGGGCATTTTACCTGCGGTAGAACTTTTAAAATTGGAGTCTGTTGTCTCAAAGCTTGGCACTGCTTTATCAACTATATTTATATGATATTCTTAATTGTTGTCATTTCAACAGTGTTCATAGCCTCTTCACCGGGAGTAGATTTTATCTCAAGTAACGACTTTCTTTGCTCATCTGTAGGAAGCAATTCCTCATCAAGTTTTATTGTGAGACTGAGCAATTCAGTCACATTGTTTGGCTCCACTTCTAATTCTAGTTATCTATCACATCTGCAGATACTTCCACTGAGGATTTTGAACCCACTTAAAGTCATCCATGAGGGTTGAAGATTTTTATCTCCTCCCATGAATCACAAATTTTCTTACTGGCGTCTAGCATAGTGAATCCTTCCCAGAAAATTTTCAATTGACTTTGCCTGGATTCATCAGAGGACTCTCTCTGTGGCAGTTATAGCCATGTGAAATGTATTTCTTCAGTAAGACTTAAAAGTCAAAATTGCTCCTTAATTCATGGACTGCAGAATGGATGTCATATTAGCAGACTTGAAAGCAGCATTAATCTTGTATATCACCATCACAGCTCTTGGATGACCAGGTGCATTGTTAGTGAGCAGTAATATTTTGAAAGCAATCTTTTTTTTCTGAGCAGTAGGATTCAAGAATGGTGTAAAATATTCAGTAAGCCATGTTGTAAACAGATGTCATCCAGGTTGTATTCCATTTATAGAGCACAAGTAGGGTAGACTTGGCATAACTTAAC